TCCATCCGGTTTTAATTACTTTATCTATTTCAATACTCTAATCCGACCGAAAATGAAAAGTGGAGCAACGAGGGAGTACCATCGGGTTTCTTTTTTTATATATTTAGTCTTGTTTTTTCCCTGTGTTCTAAATATTAGCCTAAGTTAAATTTTATTTTATTATGTTCTAAATTAATTTCCTATGCTATAAATGTTTTTATTTTTTCTATGTACTAATTTTTTTTCCTATATTCTAAACCCTATTTTTCAAAAAAAATTTCATATGTTCTATTTTTTTTTTTTCCTATAACCTAAATTTTTTTTCTTATGTTCTAAATTTTTAACCTATGTTCTAAATTTTTTCTGCATATGTTCTAAATTTTTCCCCTACTTTAGAACATAACTTAAGATCATAATTTTATAACATAAGAAGCACAATAAATTAGATATACTTTAGAACAAACTAGACATATTTTTTTTTTAGCATAATAGACTTCTTTGAACATAGTAAACATACTTTAGAACATAAGAGACATACTTTAGCACAAAATAAATACACTTTAGAATTTATTTATTTATTTATTTATTATTTTTTTTTATTACTTTTGAGTTATTATGGTTTCATTTTTGAAGTTTTTTTTTTAGTTTCTTTTAGAGATAACCTATGTAGGAATCGAACCTACATCCCCTATGCATTTTCATAGTGCTCTACCAATTCAACTTATAGGTATAGCATATATATTCACTAAAAATTAGAGCTAATAAGTTTTGTTTAATTTTTAATTTTTTTTTTATTTTTTTTTATTTTTTTATTTATTTATTTTTTTTTGTCTATGTTCTAAATTTTTCCACTCTAAGTTATAAATTTATTGTATCTATGTTCTATTTTTTTTTCTTATGTTCTAAATTTTTTTACTATGTTCTAAAGTTTAACCTATATTCTAAACCTATGTTCTAATTTATTTACTATGTTCTAAATTTATTTCCTATGTTCTATTTTTTTTTCTTTTTCCTACCTATGTTCTAAATTTGTTCCTATATTCTAAACCTTATCTTTCTTGTTGCTAGTAATTTTTAAAATTTGTCATTATTGACACAATCATAACCATTGTTTTGAAATAAGTTGTTGTAATACTTTCCACCAAAAAGTATTCATTTAGCTTCTAATTCAACAATGTCATTAACAATCACAATAATACAATATGCAAGAAGAATATATGAATTAACGACTTAGTATCATTTAAGGTATTATTTAGAGCTTTGAAAGCATAGACATAATTGATATAGAAAAAAAAAATCACAAGATGTATTACGGCAAGTTACTAGAAAAAAGCTACTTCGGAACATAAAATCAGATCCTAGGCTCTAAGGAAAAGGTAGCTTGGGCGATACCATGTTTATAAAACCACGACATGCAAGCATTAAGGAGCAACTCAAATGTTATGAGACTGACTTCCTCCAGGATATTGATCATGCAACGTAAGTAGCAAACTGAAAATATTACAAAGAATCAAAGATGTTTATATCCATCAATATATTAAAATAAAAGGAGCACTCCTAAAAGAAGTAATCTGTCCTCTATCCCATAACTAGCTGAACTTGACCAAACTTCTCGTAATTTTCATCCAAGAGCCAAGCGGACTCAAATTTAAATGATCTTTTGCGCTTCTTCTTTCATTTCCTCCTAGACTGATTATTTAAGGTGAGAAGAATAGGTGAGTGATCAGATTTGTCTCTGACCAAATGTGACACCAAAGCATTCGGAAAAGCTGTTCTAAGAAGAGTTCCCAATAAAACGGTCAAGTCGTTCTTGAATCACTGTGTTCATAGAAGTTCCCCTTTCCCATGTAAACCAATGTCCATCATAGCCAAGGTCACGGAGTCTGCAACCATTCATCATCTCACGAAAATCATTCATGGCCCTCCTCTTCGAGCACCCCCCCCCCCCTCCTTCTCATTATAAGAGTGGATTTCATTGAATATACAACACTACTACGTGCTCACACTACTCGGTTACACGGCTTACACCATACATGATTGTATAGAAAAACCGTCCATCCAACCAAAACCAAAACCAAACAAATATCAGGGCTCTAAGTGCCAGCAGTGACATCTATAGTGTAGTACAGTCATTCAAATATTAAATACAAGCTATTCAAATAGTTTGCATTCGAAGCTATGGTTCAAGTCAAACAAGAAGCCCACATAAACAAACCCCTCATCAATCTCCCCTGTCAGCCACTTAACCTTCACCACTCCCTTTCTTAGCCTACACCGCATCTCCAATCCACACCCCTCACCAGCCTTCTCATTTCTCTGCCAACAACCACCACCAAATTCATACCACCATAGTAGCCGCTAAACAACAGCACATAAATCGCACAAAAAAACCACACAACAACGACACAACGACAAAAAAAATTCGCACAAAAATCGCCATAGTAGAATTTTGCCTTGCACCAAGGCTCCCCTAAGACAAACCACAATCCTAATCCTTTTGAATGGAAGAGCACCACATCTAGCTTCAAAACTTCTCATAAAACAAAATGGAGAATAACCAGAAGTGCTGAACGAATAATGCTGGTTACTTCATATATTTCCACTATGATCAACACCATGTTCTAAAAGAGTTTAGAACATGCTTAAAAAGAGTTTAGAACATGCTAAGCTATGTCAGTTGCTTGCATATCTTAAAAGTGTATTTTTTATCATAACATTGACATTCTATAAACATATCGACAGGAACAACGTGGAAAGATCAACACCATGTTCTAAATTATTTCAACCTATGTTCTAATTTTTTCCTATGTTCCAAATTTTTTCTACCTATGTTCTAAAGTTTATTTTCAGCCCTACAATCACAAGTTCACAACCAACAACCCCTAACCAATTAACTGCTGCTGAATGAATCAACCACCACACCACAACCCCTACAAACAGGGGTAATCGCACCAACATCACCAATTTCGAAATCAAAATCCGAAAAAATCAGCAAAAATCGAACCCTAAATCCGCAAAAAAAGAACCCTAAATTTGAACTATAGATTCGCAAAAATAATAAAAAATAGAACATAGAGAATAAGCCAGATTTGTTTTTAGACATGACGAATTGATGCAAGCAGAACAAGTAATGCCAAGTTGTTCAAGCTATGCTTGCTCATTAATCGAGTTTAAAAGTTTTGTTTAGCCTGAATTGTTTACTTAACGAACAAATTTTAGCAGAACTTATTCTTATTCTTGAGTGTATCGGGGTAGGCATTATACACAAGTAGTTGTAACACCATAATTTGGATGACTACTGCTATGAACTGAACTAATGACCAACAAAAAAAGGAAAAAAATAAACGCTTTTCAATTTTAATAACACGAGTTTAATTACCCGAAACCTGATATATTTGATCAATGAATCAAAATTGATACAGAACATTACAGCAATTTCTATGGAGATGAAAATCCTTCAAATTGCAATTTCTATGGAGATTTTTGGGGGTTTGCAGAGAGAGAATGTGATGAACACGAAGAGAGAGAAAGTTAGAGGAGGGACAAAATTTTGATCGGTTGGTAGAGGGTATGAGGAAAAATACGTGTTTTAATCTTAACCGTCCAAATTACCTTAATTCTACGGCTGAGATTGGTTCTTATATAACTAGGGTTCTTATATAAGGAGGGGTTCTTACCGAATCCCTCCCCTATATATATATTTTTTTTATTTTTTTTCTTTTTCCTTCTCTTTTCTGTCAAAAAAAGATATGTTTTTTTTTTTTTTTTTTTTTTTTTTTTTTTTGTGTGACAAGTCTTCTTTTTTTAATTGATAAATTCCACTTTTTTTTGGTAATTGAAATGCTTTCTTTTAAACTTTTTGTTCTATTCACCTAATCTTCTTAGATTCAACAAAGTGATTTATTCCTTACAAAAATTAAGTGATTTAAAATTATGGAAAATGTAGTCACTGTATTGATTCAACAATACTAATATATACTTTTATATATTAAATAGCATTCCTAAAATTATTTATGTGCCACATACATCTGCACTAGCATTGTGATACGTCATCATTTAACTAGCATTGTGTCGTGTTACCACTATCATTACAACATTAATCCAAGTTACTAATGAAGTTAAATGTATCCCACAAGTTTCGAATACTAAACCTCATGAATATAAGATCACATTTCTTACCATCTTAATTAAAAGTAATTTATGTATTTTATATACATATAAATAAATATACATTTACATTTGCATAGCTTGGAAAAAATTGATAAAGAGGAATAGAATAGCCTCAACAATTCCAAGTTAAATTCTCTCTTTTTACGATATTGTGTTTCAACGTAACAACCCGATGCAATGTTCGGACCACACGCTAGTAGTTATTATTATTATTATTATTATTATTATTATTATTATTATTATTATTATTATTATTATTATATACTAAAAAGTGTGCCTAAACATATTTGTTCATGCCACGTGGCACCTTCATAAATCGAACATGACACGTCATTTTTCAACTATGAGATGAAATTAATGAAAAAGGTATGTTATGAGATTTGAACTCAAAACCACTACAATATGTATTAGAAGACTTATTATCTCATCTATTGATTAATCATGCTGTTTTTCTCAACTCATAAATATAAATATGGATTGGAATACTGAAAAATTAATTGCTGCAGTTTTTAAATAATGGAAGGGTGATGGATGGAACGGAGCTCCACCTAAATCTGATCCGATCCGTCACCCGTTTCATCCATCACATGCCCTTCATTCATTTAACGGAGATTTTTGTATATTGATTTATATCAGATTGATCGGGTTTACGAATATTCAATTATAATTGCCATCCCTAATATTCTTCGATGCATACTCCCCTTCTTACATCTAAAGTTCCTCCTTTATTTGAAGGGAGTACACATAACACATTATTTGTCCAATTTAATTATTCCCTATTCAAGGAAATAAATCGTATAACTTTTGGAATAAAATCATCCCAATTTTGAGGCATAAATACGTAGTAATGAGTCAATAAACTCTTGCTACCCCACATGTTCTGTGTGTGTATATATACAAGTACAAATGTATAAAATCTAACAACTCAAATTTTTATTTCAAAGGTGAAATGAAGGTCTTCTCAAGGAATTTGAACCTTGTTCCAATGGTTTCACTTATAGTGATCATCATATTGCATTTGCAATTCACAAGTAAGTCGGTTAAACAATTTCATTACTTATGTGTTTGAGAAATAACAATCGATTACTCAATTAATTTGCTGATAAATAATGTTTTCTTAAAACTAAGTATTATGTATAATCAGATTAATTGATTTGTGTATTTAATAAAAGTTGTCATATATTTTGATTGCTAATGCTATATTGTTTTTTTTTTTCCCACCTTTATAAAAAGTTTGCGATAACTCTCGGTTCAAGCAATTGTACCCTAAAAAATATTTGTTTACTAATCTGCTGTTATTAATATTACTTACCTTTTTTTTTATAACTTTATCTTAAGAATAATATATGCGGACAATAATATCATATTTACCCAGAATTTGATTGTTTGACTCACCATTTCGGTGTTGACCACCTTACCACCACCACTGACTTCACCTACCTTTGTTGACCTACCCACCTCGAAACCACCCCTCACTAACCCAAAACCCCACACTAATTAACCATCCGAAAATCGCCCACCCAACCCGAAACCACCCTTGTCGGCTAAAACCCCACCCTAATTTCATGAAAACCACTGTTGTCACCTCGACACCACCTCTCACCAACTAGATTTCTCACCTTAACTATTCGAAAACCGCCTCGCTAACAAAAAATAAGGCCAGGGAGGGGTGGTTTGGGGTAGGGTACGTAGAAGGTTTCTGGGTGGTTAATTAGGGTGCGGTTTTAGGGTGGAGAGGGATGGTTTCGGGTTGGGTGGGTGGCTTCCAATGGTTAGGGTGGGGTTTTGGACTAGTGAGAGGTGGTTTTGGGTTGAGAGGATAGTTAGGGCGTGTGGGAAGGTGGTGAAACTGGTGTAGGTGGTTGGTGATGAGGTGGTCATAGGTAAAGGTAGTTGTTGACAAAAAAAAATTTTATATCAGGCGTGTTTTAACAAAAAAAGAAATAAAATAAAATAAAATGTGTGAGGTGGTTTGTGATAAAATTTGTATTTTTTGAGGTGGTTTGTAATAAATTTTCCTTTACAACTTGTTTGGGTAATGTTAAGGAAAGGAAAAGAAGGGGAGGGAAGGGGAAGGAAAAGTGATAGACTTTTCCTTCCAAATCTCTCCATTGTTAGAGGGATTATTTACTTAGAATTTAATCTCTCAATTTCTCTCCCTTCATCCCTAATTTGCTATTTAAATGAAGATACTCTCTTCTTTCATTTTCCTAACCTTTCTTTCCCTCCATTTCATTCAATCCAAACACATTATTAAAGTATTGTTATTTCAAAAAAGTCTAACAATAAATCACATACTTCTATCCCTTTTTTTTTTTTTTTTTTTTTTTTTTTTTTTGACAAGGTAACATAATATCAATTCATTTTAGCTAAGATAACACACTCTTGCCCAAAGTATAATCTCAAATTTCACATATATATTTCCATTACTCATTACAGATGCATATAGCAGCATACTCTTTGGCAACTAACCTGTCTATGCAATCAAGTGCTATTGTTGAAGTTAACTATAGGATGCTAAGCAACAATCTTCCTCCAGCAGACTTGGTGATTAAGTTCTGTCAGTTTAAAAACATCCATCTCTTAAGATTGTATGAGCCACATTCAAATGCACTCGATAGCCTAAGAAGGTCGAACATCAAAGTTGCACTAGGCATGAAAAATGACATAGTAACAAGCATTGCTATGGGTGTAGATGTTGCCATGGAATGGGTTAACACCAATGTTGCCCCTTATGCTAATGAAGTAGATATCGAATGGATCATTGTAGGCAACGAGATGGTGTCTGGTCCTTCTGCTGACCTCATCCCTCAAGCCATGAACAATATATTGAGTGGCCTTAATTCAGCCAGGTTATCTAATATTAAAGTCTCGACAGTAGTAAATGTCAATGTCTTGGGTGTCTCCTCCCCTCCTTCTGCTGCGAGCTTCAGTGCAGAAGCTAACAAATCTATGCAAGGGATCGTAACATGGTTAGCAGGTACAAAAAACCCGCTGTTTATCAATGTGTTTCCTTATCTAGCCTTAGCTTCAAGGCCTAAGGAGATACCATTAGATTATGCACTTTTCAATGCACAACAGTCTGTAATCGATGGGACATACAAGTACTATAGTTTGTTTGAGGCTATGGTAGACGCGTTTTATGTTGCCTTAGGGAACATCGGTGGGGGTAGTGTGACCCTGGTTGTGTTTGAGACAGGGTGGCCTACTGCTGGGAATGATCCTTATACTAGTAAGTAAAATGCACAAACTTATAATCAGAAACTCATTGATAAAATGAAGCGAACAGGAACACCAAGAAAGCCATCAAATCTTTTGGATATCTTTGTATTATCTATGTTTAATGAGGATAAGAGGGCAGCTGGAATTGACCAAAATTGGGGGATCCATTACCCAAATTTGGATCCTGTGTATCCCTTGACATTTTAACTATTATGGAGTATGATTGCTAAACCATGCTATGGCATTTAAAGTTTTTTTTTTTTTTTTCTTTTTTTTTTTTTTTTTTTTTTTGACAAATGCAAAGGAGAAAAACAAGACTACAACAAATTAGAACAATTAATCCGGCATTTCCTAGCAATGTCATTCGCCTTCTGCACCTGGTCGCGCTGAACTTTTAAAATCGTGCATCTTTGGAACGAGACCCCTACTTTGGTTAATTCTTTCAGCAACCAGATTATCGAAATCTCCCTGCCAGTGGACATCTGTAAATTGGTTAGAAGTGCAGTAGAGTCGGATAAAAGAAGGATTCCCTGTCTACCATTAGCACGAGCCCACTTCATAGCTTCGAGACAAGCCCAAGCCTCGCATTGTATGACTGATGCTGCTGTTCCGTGTAGACCCCCTTCTTCCAGGTCATTGCCTAGAATGTTAGCCTTGACTGCCCAGTCGATCCCTGCTCTCCTCGTTTTCTTATCCCATGATCCGTCTGCTTCCACAATGAAATCATCGTAACCACTCTTTTCCTTTCCCAAATGCACGTGGTTGAACCCCGGGGGAATGATCATATTGTCCCTGTCAGCCAACTCCATCTGATGTAGGTGGTTGGCATTTAAAGTTGTAAGTCGAAGACGCTTGATATAAGCCTTGGCTTCAATAATATTCCTAAAGTTTTTGACAGTTTCATTTTCTTCTGTATGTTTGTCTTCGAAACATAAGCATAGATTATAGTTTTGTCAAACAGACCGAAAAAAGGATTTTCATTTATGTCTTGCACAACCATAAAATTCGACACCCTATTGTTGAGCAGTGGTGTGCTAATCACTTGGTCAAATTTAATCAATAACAAGCTATCTACTGCAGTTATAGAGGTAAATCATAAATGTGTTGCGCTGCCTCCTCAAGTGTACGCTTTAAACGAAAAACGATGAATAAATTGTTAGAAAATTTCTAGCAATGACAAAACACAAGTCAAACAGAAGATGGTGAGGTTTTTTATTTTTATTTTTTTATTTAACAATTTAAATAACACTCCCAAAATGGTTTCCTAACACTTTTTAGCTGATGGGTTTCTGAAGCATTCAAATTTTCTGTACTGTTTCTTCCTTAATTATATGTCCTGCATTTTTGCATTAGAAGGGCGCAAGCATGAGAATCAATTAAACTTCATGTCAGCTTTGAAAATTTTAAGGTGATCATGTAAAAAAATGTTCATCATAAGCTATTCTATGTGGCAAGCTCACGGCCACCAAAAAAAAAAAAAAAAAAAAAAAAAAAATGGTCCCTCATTAATTTATTTTTCAAAAATCATTTAAATGATTAACTAAAATTGTTAAAAATATTTTAAAAATTAGTATTGAATATTTATGAAAACCATTCATAGAATAATAAAATTGTTTTAGAATTAATAAAAACGAAAAAACCCAGGCCACCCCTCCCACCAGCAACCCCTTTACCCCACTGATGTCGGCGACCAACGACCCACCCCCCTCCCCGCCGTGCCGGCGACCCACCCCTTCCTCATTACCCCAATTTCCCCCTCCCTCCTTTCCCCGACCATTTCCGACCCCCAATCCTCCCCCAAAACCCTAACCCCTCCCTTCCCCCACCGTGAAACAGTCCCCCTCCCTTTTCCCAATGAAGAATGGGCCTCATTATTCATTGTGATCATGAGAGTGCCACCTCATCAAGGCGGTGACAGATGCAAAGTTTTCAGTGGGGTCCCTTGACCTCACTTGAGCATGAAAATTAAGAATTTTTTCCTATAATTTTTCTTTTCTCTATAAAAATTACTTGTATTTTTATCAAATGACCCCATTAAAAATCATCAAATATATTTTGACCTCGTTAAATATTTTTTTTAACCTCGTTAAATATTTTTTTTTTTTGGATCCACCACTGCATCAGGCCCATAAAAAGCGAATAAAAAACATCCTAAAAATGGGAATATAAACATATGACAGACGAATATCAGAACATGTATAGAATTTGAAACCAAAAGCTCTTGAATATTAATTAGTTCTGATTAGAACATATGTTTTTCAGATTCCAAACAATTTATAAGAACTCCCAGTCAGAAAACAAATTATATCCTATCCACCATTCGACATCAAGGCCGAGAAAAGACTTCAACTCCAGATTAGCCCGATGAGGCACCAGATTTATTTTTAGTGCAGTAACTCATACATCTTTGGCCAAAATCTATCATATCCATCTCACCTCATCATCTTTTCCAATTTCCATTAAAAAACAAACCAAAGCAGAACCCAAATGATATACAGAGTACCTACATGAGTAACATGACTAAGGGTCTGTTCTGTTCAGCTTAATTTCAATTCAGTTCAGTTCACTTTAGCTCCGCTCCAATCAGTTCAGTTCCTAATTTCCTTCTCTCATAAACAATTCATTTCAGCTTAATTCAGTTCAGCCCAAATCAGTTCAGTTCAGTTATATTCAGTAAATCGGAACAAACCCTAAATTCGACATCCTTAAGACCGTAAATATTCTATTCAAACCTATAAATGCTAAAGCCTTTCGATAGAGAGCTTTGGCATCGAAGTCAAATCGTAGAGAAGTTTATTACTTGTTAATACACTTAAACCTTGAAGGCACAAGCTGCAGGATTTAGCTCTAACTCAAATGATAAACAAAAAACAAAAATCAAACCAATGTTAATTATTAAACCCTTTTCATATTAACCTCCAGCAATATCATACGCATCCTTCTTCAGCAAATGATCGCTCTCATCCTTCAAGAACCTAGCTTTATCAGCATATAAGGCAAATTTCACAATACGTTCGTCATAATCATTAGAAGGGTTAAGAGTAGGTCATGATACTGCCATCCAGTGATTAGGAGCTTAAGAAAAGACTTGAAGAAAGTAATTGGACTTTAGGTAGCAAGCTCTTAACACTGATGACCAGTGTCCATAACTAGCTTTTGTTATGAATAGGATTCAGCGCCAAATAATACAGTATAGCTCAAACAAGTTAGCACTTGATATTTAGGGAACATTTCAAATCAAGGGTGAGACAGACAGAGAAAAGACAGTAGTTTTCCGTTAGAGTTATATGTTAAGAGTAAATCAACTAGAGATGTATACTTTCGTATAGAGGGAGTTCATCATAATTAAGCCCAACAAAAAAAAAAAAAAAAAAAAAAAAAAAAACAATATTACTGATGAGATCTCTGTAACCTAAATATCTACAACATTATTGTGTCTGTTTGATATTTCCTTCCACTTACCAAAACATCCTTGCTAGGTATCTTAATATATCATCAACTTTCTACCAGACCCAGCTAGCCAGCCAGCCAATCTTTCGTAGAAAATTGGCCTTTATGACTACTACTCTCAAAATGTCATACGCGCTCACCCTTTTATGTTGACTCTGCATTGAAGGAATATATGTCAGCAGGGGCATTGGTGCAGCTAACAGCAGACTGCTTGAATCTAACAACGTCGCCATTATGCTTGTTATGATCGAGATACATTACTACTACGGAGATATCATCATGGAAATGACGCCTTATGCCTTTCTCGATATTTTTAATATCACTATATCTAAGCTCTCTCTTCCTTGCAGCTTCTTGTAGGGCAGCTGTCACTAGTCTTTTGGCGATTCCCTACAACATAAACAATCAACATTCAATTGTCTGCAGAAATTTTATTGAAGTTTAACATGAACAAATTACAGTTTCTCCATAACAAAAATGATGTCTCATTTTCATTATTGTAAAATACAAGGCGTTGCCATTATGCTGGTATAACACTCTACACTTCCTTATCTCATAGATTTAAATATAAGCAAGGTATAAGCAGTACAACGGTTGATTTACTGCGTTTTTTTTTTAATCTATTTTTTATTATTTTTTTTATTATAATTTTTTTTTTTTTTTTATTATAGAACTCACCCCAGGACTCTTCTAATGTTACGTCAGTGTGTAAAAATCACTCGTTAAAGTCATCTGATATCATGTAAATGTAACCCCTATCTCATCAAGGCCAGTCTTACCATGAGGGCTACTATTTTTACAGTAGTTTCATTGCTCTTCCACCCCCTCCAAAAAAAAAACCTCGGAATAAGGAAGAACGCTACTCTATGTAGGGACCATTATCATAACAGTATGACTTGAGAACGTGGTTTATACAGCAACAAAAAAAGAGGCTATTTAAACTCACCGTTCTAGAATTCTTGGAAACCATTTCCACCACAGTTTGATCAGACAATTGTTCCCAAAGACCATCTGATGCAAAGATTAGAAATAAGTCTTCTGGCTCAAGCTTTCTTTGAATTACCGATGGTTCAGCTGTCATTGCTGGACGTTTCAAGGATATGGGGTAGACAAACTGCTGATATATAGGGTCTCTACTGAAATCTGGTTTTTTCAAGTACACATCTCCAATAGATCTTGATACCTGAAAAAGAAAAGTTGATCAGAACAGCATCTTCATCAGATGCCTTTTCTCAGATAGAAACTTAAAGTATGCATAGCAAACAGCAAGGAATATATGAGGACTACTTATAGTTCTTAATTGTTGTTGAACAGCTACTGCTTTTCTTTTATCGTTCTCATCTCCATAAATATTTATGCTTTGCACATAAAGATTTGAAAAACAGCCTTATCAAAAGGACAGAGTTAAATACTCTATATCTAAAAGGAAATAGACATTAAGAGGTAATAGCATTGGCAAAGCACCAACCAAAATAATAATACACGGTATACACTGCTGAACTCTTTAGTAATTAACTTTGATGCAAAAGAGAGAAAATTTTCAAGGTCAATTTGCCATTGGATGCATTAACTGTATTTTATTAGAAGCATAAAAAAAAGGACAACTTACACAGTGACAAAAAGGTTCTAATATACAACGGTCGAAAAACTCGCATTCATATAGCAATTTCACTTTTCAAGCAATTTTGGTTCAAGTTGTAAAGCATACATTCTATTTTGAAAATATCTTAGGCAACTTTTTTAAAAAAATAAAAGGAAATTCTCAAACTAAAAAGCCTTCAAGCAGAAAGGATACTGAGGTCAGAACAACAACCATATCATAAAATGTGAACATTTAAGGTAAAATGATTTTTAAAAAACACTATTAATGTTGCAAAACAAATTCATACACAAAAATGAGTGTTTACCATTTAAGGCATAATGATTTATAAAATGCTATTACGGTTGCAAAAGAAAATGAAACACACAAACAAGCATATGCTTTGCAAGTAGCAATTAACAAACTATTCTCCTGCACAAGGCGTAATGCAGCTTCCAAATAGCCGTCCACATCAAACAAAGGCACACAACACCCTATTGCAAACCTGTAATATACAGCATACCAGGAGAAATGAAGACAATTGTTGAAAGGCTCAATATCACATGCACCCATCAATCCTCACTGTTCTGTTTGAAAGAAAACCACACAACCACCACCCTTAGAGGCTCCTGCAGAAGCCAAGTCTTGGGAGGTGAGATGTATGCTTCCATATGTCTTCAAGAGAACCTCGAGAAAGGATTATTTTGAACTAAATTAAGGACAAAGGAAGCATAAATAAGTAAAAGCAGACTAAATAGCATGTAGTCCATAATACTCACACCTAAAAAATGCACAAAACACCCAAACGGCCATAAGATTAGAAAGCAATGAATAGATGATTACTTGTATAATCCCCTTGATCCTCCAAACTCCACGACTGTATACAACGATATGAGAGTCATCAGGATGAAGTGCCTCAACCTCTCTTCTAACCTCCACTTCTGACACATTATGATCAGTTGATAACCTCTCAGCCACAACCACTTCCCTTTTCCTAACAGTCACTTTTCGACCCAGCACTGCTCTCGAGTCACCAAGATTGGCAACAAACAATTCATTATTCGCGACTGCACCCAGTAGGCAACATGATCCCACAGAAGCAATATTTGGCTGCACTGATAAATTGCGCTTTACTAAACGCAAGAATTCATCCTCCGTTGCACTAAAAGCCTTCTTAATCACTTCAACCGATAACCCTCCATGCTCGGAAGAAAATTCTGAGATAATAACATAAACTCATCAGCTCGTAAAACCTATTATTAAGAGAGACCAAAGAAATGCAATCAATCCAACACAATTACAAGAATATGAAACAGAAACACAGCATATAATCCATCAAATTATATATAGTACCATTAACAAGATGAACCAAAATTCAATATCTACACAAAAACCAACCTAGACCCAGATCAAAATGGTTAAATCTAAACCAAACCCAATATCACAAATCAATCAAAAAACACAATTAAAATCAAAATCGAACCAAAATCAAGAAAACTAACAAAAGGGTGTTATAATCAAAGCATAAAACTTACTATGGAGGAAAGAAAAAAGATGGGAATTGACAAAACGAGAAGCTTCAGGACCACCATGACCATCATAAACACCCACATAAGTAGCAGAAGGAGAACTATAAACCTGACTTTGATCTTCAAGAGATGAATTAGCTTGAACTACAGCTATTGAATAATCTCCATAAGCATGAGGTTTCAGATCCATATGCCACAATAATCCATCGCTTCTCCTTCCTAAACACCTCTCCAATGGCTTCATACAACTTCTTAACATTCTGGGTATCTCAGATTTTGATGAAATTTGGTGAAAACCCAGAAAAAATCGCAGAAATTATGGTTTTTTTTGATAGAAAATTTGAATTGTGAGAATGAATCGAAAATCTGGGTAACTAAAATTTCGATAGGGTTTGGTTAAAACCCATAAAAATTACAAATTTGATGATTTTATAATTGAAATTTAGGATTACAAGAGTGAATTGGGATCGAAAAATTGAGGAGATTGAGAAGAAATTGGGGGAAAGGTGTGAAATTGGGAAGGGAAAATCGTGTTGAGAAGCCGCGTGAGAGAAAAGGAAGAAGACTGACTCATGATACTTCTACTCTACGCGTGAAGCAAAAGTGAGGAAATTAAGGGAACGTTATTTTTTTCCTTTTTCTTTGCTTTGACTTTGTTTTAGAAAATTAGAAGCTGTTTGAAAATTAATTGTTTAAGGAAATTAGAAGCTTTTCCAAATTTAAAATCCGTATGCTAAATCACCTAAAATGCTAAAAATAATGAAAGATGATAGTGTGAAAATGTGATGTATAATAGAGGGATCCATACTTTCTTTTTAAAAGTGTTTAAAGGGGTAAATAGGATCATTCGGTTCGCATTTGGCTTGTATATTTGGGTTTACAAAATTCTTATAAAATTAAGGGAGTTATGAAAAATCTAAATGTGGATGACTATTATCCCATGTATTATGTAGAATATTCTAGAATTGGGTATTTGATTTTATCCGATGATGGAACCCTAGATAATATACATCTATATATATCCCGTATTAGATGGAATAAGATACAGTACGTAACAAAATTTCTCTCATATCTCTCATTATTTCTTTTTGATATTTAATACGTTATCAGAACCATTGCTACAAAAATATTAAAAAGAAAAAGTAACAAAGATAATTAAATCACTGCAATCATCTATCATCCCGTAAGCTGCCGCCGCCGCCGTTCACCGCTCCGGCCCCTGTTCTTGCTGTCGTCTGTCCCACAGGCGTCGCCTCCGGCCTCCCGTGCTCAGTGCTCCACTGCTCCGTCATCCACTCATCCATATTCCGTGACTTTATAGATTTATATCTTGAATTCTTGATAATAAATTATGATGTATTGAGTTCATATTGATTGATTAAGTCGAATTAGATACTATAGTAGCTAGAAATCAAGATCTTAGTTTCTGGGTGTTTGACCAAACCCTTAAAATTAGTAGTTTTGTTGTAATTGATTAGGGAAACTTAGTAATCGTGTGAATTTGTGGATTTGAGCAACTGGGTTAATTGCATTTGCTGAAGTGGGTTTATATCTATTCTAGTTAATTTATATGAATTGAGTAATAATTGATCATGACATTTAAAGCTAATTTACTTTGGGACTTTAGAGCTTTAGAATGGCTCACTGTGTGAAATAAAAGATGTTAAAATTTCTTGGTCATTACTATATTGAATGTAGGTATAAGTTAATATGATCAATCTATAACACTCTCGAAATAGTCCTAAAATCCCAATATAAAAATTAGTATTCAACCTTTACCCACCTTCTACCATCTGCTTGGGTATTACAGCACAAATTTCAAAGCAACTATCTATACTCTACTTGTTAATATGCCACTCTAAAACAATGTCTACAATAAGTTTGAATGTTGCTGTTTTATCATGTTGAGCTCTTCTTACTGCTCTGAATTGCAATACTCTGTAACTCAGGAGTTTCTTAGCCAATTAAGATATAATGCTTGGTATGGTGAAATACTGCAGGTTCCTGCCACTGATATATTAATACATATCTATCGATATGACTTGCTATTTGGATTTTTTTTTTTTTTTTTTTTTTTTTTTTAATGTTCCAAAGCCCAAAGCAGCTTAGTGACTAAAGCTCTATTCTATATTACTCTGTTTTCGATGTTCCATCCTAAAGAACACATATCATCTCATAAGAATTAATTGAGCTCTTTTTAGAAGAAAAAAACACACTTTGAAATTTTAGTTGTTACTGTTGGCCTAGACGAAAATAGTGTCTAGAATTCGGCTGAAAAGAATTAATTATGTTGTTGACTTAGTCTTCATTGGACTTTTATGATGAACTTACTTGTCCCAAGATAACGTCTTTGTTTTTGTTTAAGGTTTATGTTTATTAAGGTTTATGTTGTTTTATATAATATTGTTTTATATATCAGTGAATCATGTCAAACCTTGCAAAACTCGAATTTGTTGCTCTTGATATTACTGGAAACAACTATATGTCTTAGGTGTTAGATGCTGAAATACATTTAGATGCAAAGGGACTTGGTGATACTATTAAAGAAAACAACACTGCAACAAGCCAAGATAAGGCTAAAGCTATGATATTCCTTCGCCATCACCTTCATGAAGGCCTTAAGACTGAGTACTTGACTGTTAAAAACCCACAAGTCCTTTGGAGTAATCTAAAGGAAAGGTATGACCACCAGAAAACTGTGATATTACCAAAAGCTTGTTATGACTGGTTACATTTAAGAATTACAAGACTTTAAGTCTGTGATGGAATACAACTCAGCCATGTTTAGAATTACATCACAATTGAAATTATGTGGAGAGAAAATCCCGGATGCAGAAATGTTAGAAAAAACATACTCTACTTTTCATGCAAACAATGTTGTCCTGCAGACACAATACCGTGAAAAGGGTTTTACAAAATATTTTGAATTGGTATCTTGTCTCCTTGTGGCTGAGCAAAATAATGAACTATTAATGAAAAATCATGGATCACGCCCAACTAGCTCTACTCCATTCCCTGAAGCGAATGCGACATCCCATAGTGGGAAAGAGTGAAAGGCTAGAGATAACGCCAGCAGTTGTGGTCGAGGTCGTGGTCGCGGCCGCGGACGTGGACGTGATCGTGGTCGAGGAGGTCATTTTAGGAACTCATACTCTCACCAGAAGTGGGACAATAAAGATGGAAATAAGAATGAGAAGGATAAAAATGAAAATATATGTTACCGTTATGGAGGAAAAGGCCATTGGTCTCGTGTGTCTCGCACACCAAAACATCTAGTAGACCTTTATCAACAATCAATCAAACAGAAAAGAAAGAAAGTGGAAACAAATTTGGTGTATGAGGATGGCGAAGGTGATTTTGATTACGGTGATACAACTCACCTGGAAGCGGCTGATTTCTTTCCTAATCCTGAAGAAAATAATTGAATAAATTATGATCCATAGGCGAATAAACTCTATTAATTAACTTGCATTTATTATAGAATTTTATCGTAGTACTATGACTTTATGCTTTATGGAACATTTGTTTTTGGACAATTTTATGTTTTTGGATATTTTTATGTTTTCAGATATTTCATTATTACCAGTCATTTATTAATTTAAGTTATTTGGTTTAGTGAATCTTATTTTAGTTCCTTTAATCCTATTAGAATATGAATCCCTTTGGAGCTCAATCATCGACCAATGGTGAAGATTTATGTCTAGTTGATAGTGCTACCACTCACACCATACTTAAAGATAAGAAATATTTTTCACAATTGGTGATGAAAGAAATTAGTGTGAGTACTATATCAGGCGGTACAAAAATTATAGAAGGCTGCGGAAGTGCAAATGTATTATTGCCAAGGGGAACAAAATTGAAAATTATTGATGCATTATACTCCCCTAAGTCTCAAAGAAATTTACTAAGTTTTAAAGATATTCGAAAAAATGGATATCACATTGAGACAATTAGTGAAGGAAATAATGAATTCCTTCAAATCACGAGTATGACTGAAGGCAATAAACTTATTATGGAGTAATTACCTACATTGTCCACTGGCTTGTACTATACAAAAATCAATACAATTGAATCACATGCTATAGTAAACCAGAAGTTTACTGATGACTTCAAAGTTTGGCATGACCGGTTAGGCCATCCCGGTTCAATAATGATGCGAAAAATAATCGAAAATTCATGTGGACACTCATTGAAGAGCCAACAGATTCTTCATAATATTTTTTCATGTGCTGCTTGCTCAAAAGGCAAGTTAATACTCCGGCCATCACCAGCTAAAATAAATTCCGAATCAATTACTTTTCTAGAACGTATACAAGGGGATATATGTGGACCAATTCATCCCCCGTGTGGCCCATTTATATATTTCATGGTTTTAATAGATGCATCAACTAGATGGTCACACGTATCATTGTTATCAACTCGCAACCTGGTGTTTGCGAGACTACTTGCTCAGTTGATCAGATTACGAGCACATTTTCCAGACTTTTCCTATTAAAGCTATTCGTCTTGATAACGCTGGTGAATTCACATCCCAGACCTTTGATGAATATTGCATGTCAATTGGGATTAGTGTTGAACATCCTGTAGCACATGTTCACACACAAAATGGTCTTGCAGAATCGTTAATTAAATGTTACAATTTATTGCTAAACCATTACTTATGAAATCTAATCTCCCAATTTCTGCTTGGGGGCATGCTATATTACATGTAGCAGCACTAATTCGCATCAGGCTGACAAGTCATCATAAGTTCTCCCCATCACAATTGGTTTTTGGTCAGGAACCAAATGTATCCTATTTGAGAATATTTGGATGTGCAGTATATGTTCCAAATGCTCCACCACAACGTACTAAAATGGGACCTCAAAGAAGACTAGGGATATATGTTGGATATGAATCTCCATAGATAATTAAGTACCTAGAGCCAACGACAGGAGATTTATTTACGGCTCGTTTTGCAGATTGTCGTTTTGATGAATCAGTTTTTCTAACATTAGGGGGAGAAAATAAACAGCTGCAAAAGGAAATTAGTTGGAATGAATTATCATTATCTCACCTAGATCCTCGTACTAAACAATGTGAATTGGAAGTCCAAAAGATAATTCATTTACAAAACTTAGCAAATCAATTGCCAGACTCATTTACTAACCCAAAGAAAGTGACAAAGTCACATATACCAGCTGAAAATGCTCCGATTAAAATTGATGTCCCAGAAGGACAAGCCCAAGTTGCAAATGATTCTAAAGCACGCCTGAAGCGTGGTAGACCCATAGGTTCCAAAGATATAAACCCTCGGAAGAGAAAAGGAGCAACTATTGACAATGACCAGATCGAGGAAGCTATTAATTTTGAAGGATCTCTAGAAGAGACCTTAGACATGATGGAAAAAGATATTTAGGTACCTGCCAATGAAGAAATTTCAACAAATTCTATCATGTCTGAAATTACATGGAGCCGAAACCAAATCAACGTCGATGATGTTTTTGCATGCAATGTAGCATTAGATGTCATGAATGATGATGAGGATCATGATCCAAAATCCATTAATGAATGTAGACAAAGAAGTTATTGGCCAAAATGGAAATAAGCAATTGAAACTGAATTGAAATCTCTCGAAA